TAAAATTGAAGTAGAGAACTAGACTGGAAAGTTTATCAAGACTCTTCAATCAGATCGAGGAGGTGAGTACTTAAGTATAGAGTTTACCCAATTCCTCAAGGACCATGGGATTTTATCCTAATGGACACCTCCTTATACACCTCGGCTCAATGGTGTGTTTGAAAGGAGGAATCTTACGCTGTTAGACATGGTATGGTCCATTATAAGTTTCGCTGACCTACCCATCTCATTTTGGGGATATGCCCTAGAGACCACAGCTTACCTTCTGAATAGAGTTCCAACTAAGTCGGTAGTGTCTACACCATATGAGATATGGAATGGGAAGAAGCCCGATCTTAAGGTTGTTGAGATTTGAGGCTGCCTTGCCCACGTTAAAAGACACAACCCCAATAAGATGGAATCAAGGACGGAGCGATGCAAGTTCGTGGGATACCCCAAGGAAACTTGTGGGTATTATTTCTATAATCTCGAGGACCAAAACGTATTTGTAGCCAAGAGAGCAATGTTCCTTCAGAAGGAACACATTCTTAGCGGAGATAGTGGGAGCATGATAGAGTTGAGCGAGGTTGGAGAACCTAGCTCAAGCACCACTCTACAGCCCGAGTATGTTCAGGTACGTAATACACAAGTTCCAACTTTACGTAGGTCTGGCAGAGTATCCCATCCTCCTGAGAGATATGTGGGACATATTAAAGGAGATGATGTTGAGGATATTGATCATCAAACCTATAAGGAGGCTATTATGAGTATAGACTCCGAGAAGTGGCAAGAAGCCATGAATTCTGAGATGAATTTCATGTACTCCAACAAGGTTTGGAACCTAGTTGATGCGCCCGAAGGTATTGTACCCATCAGTTGCAAGTGGATCTTTAAGAAAAAGATCGTAGTAAATGAAAATGTAGAGACCTATAAAGCAAGGCTAGTGGCTAAGGGGTATCGTCAAAGGCAAGGTGTTGACTATGACAAAACCTTCTCACCCATAGCAATGCTAAAATTCATCCGAATTCTATTGTCTATTGCAGCACACTATAATTATGAAATCTGGTAGATGGATGTGAAAATCACATTCCTCAATGGGAACCTCGAGAAGGAGGTGTATATGATACAACCCGAGGGATTCATATCCATGAACTACCTAGATAAGGTGTGTAGGTTGCTTAGATACATTTATAGACTAAAGCAAGCTTCCCAATGTTGGAACATAGGATTTGATGAGGCAATCAGATCTTTTGACTTCGTTAAGAATGAAGATGAGTCTTGTGTATATAAGAAGGTAAGTGGGAGCGCTATCACCTTCTTGGTATTATACATGGATGACATCTTGATCATTGGGAATGATGTAGGAGTGCTATCCATAATAAAGGCTTGGTTATCTAGACGCTTCTCCGTGAAAGATTTAGGGGAAGCATCTTATATCTTGGGGATTCAAATCTATAGCGATAGATCTAAGAGGACGCTTGGTTTGTCTCAGTCCAAGTACATAGACACCATTGTCAAAATGTTTGACATGAAAAATTTCAAGAGATGTCTCATATCGATGAGACATGGGATATCGTTTTCTAGAAGTATGTTTCCAAAAACTCTTAAAGAAAGGGCAAACATGGATAGGATTCCTTATGCCTCAGCGATAGGGTCTATCATGTATGTCATACTATGTACCAGGCCTGATATAGTGCATGCCCTGAGTGTCACGAGCAGGTATCAAGCAGATCCAGGCTTGGAGCACTAGAAAGTAGTAAAGTGTATCCTTAAGTACTTGAGAAGAACTAAGGATCTTTTACTAGTATATGGAGGTAGTAGCCTTAGGATTAAAGGCTATACAAACTCAAGTTTTCAGTCTGGTGTCGATGATAGCAAGTCAAATTTGGGGTATATGTACACCTTGAATAGAAGAGCAGTATGCTGGAAAAGTTCCAAGCAAGATACTACCACTGACTCAACCATAGGGGTAGAGTACATTGCTGTAGCAGAGGCATCAAAGGAGCGAGTCTGGATGAAGAAGTTCATTACAGATCTGGGAGTCATGCTAGGCAGTAAAGAATCGATTCCCTTATATTGTGACAACTACGGGGATTGCTCAAATAAGGGAATCCAAGTCTCATCAGAAGTATTTTGAGGAGGTTCCAACTTTTTAGAGAGATTGTGACCCGAGAGATGTAGTAGTGGAAATAGTTCCATCCAAAGATAATATTGCAAATCCACTTACAAAGCTGTTGTCTCAAATTGTCTTTGAGCATCACAAGGGTCTGATGGAGATCAGACACATAGGTGATTGGCTTTAGGTCAAGTGGGAGATTGCTAGTCATAGGTGTCCAACAAGCCAATCACGTGAGTGATGACATGTGTAACTTGACATGTAGTCTTTTTGCTTATTAAATTTTGACGTTTAGCACTTTATATTGACTATTGCATATATTCATATATATATTATGATGTCCTTGGATCTGTGTAATAGGAATCAGACCGTGATGAGATCATGATAATGAGATCGATTGGTCTTTAAACATAGATCCTAAATAATCCCAATCATAGGTTATTTAAGAGGGACATCAAAATAAATGGACAGACTAGTGTATTATATACTCATCCATATGATGGATGCAGCTGGTCTAATAGCTACTCATGTGGCGATACTAGGGATACAATACAAGTGCACATTAGAGAATGAGTTTACTGATTGATTTGCTTACGGAATGCTGGATGGTTGATGATCCTTTATTGTTAGACAGCGATTCTATAGTCCTAGTGGTGTATTTGGTCCTTAGACTTGAGACACCAAGGATGTCCTATATGAGTGCTCTATTCTTTAATACCAGACTTATAGGTTTGGATGTCCCAGATCTAGTACAACCGGTCATCGGGAGTGGTAGACAATCTTACGAGGGCTATTGAATGTCGATAGAGGATCATCCACTCTCGGTGTCATGAGAGGAATATCTATGTGTTCTTGCTCATACAAATCCCTAGCCATGGTCATTCAGATTGAGAGAGAATGAGTTCTCCAAGAGAATCCGATGAGTTTGACAGCACCATTCCCGGTATATGGTCTTTGGGATATTAGATGAATGAGGGACTATAGGTACACGGTAATTAACAACAGACAGGTCCAATGGATTGGATTCCCCTATATCATCTAGGGATTACGACGTAGTGGCCTAGTACGTCCGTAGTTGATGAGTCAAGTGAATTATTATAGAGATGATAATTCACTGAGCCAGAAAGAGTTCTGATGGGTATAACTCACGGCTAGCTCGATATTGGGCCTAGAGAGTCATACATATGTGGTAGGCGTTGTGATGAGTAGAGGTTCGGATATGAGATATCCGTCGGACCCCATGGACGAGATCCAATAAAAGCCCATGAGAGATTATTATATAGAGATCCACTAATCTAAGAGGCTTTGATAGTTGGATGAAGATCCAATTCCCAATAGGAGAGGATCCATTAGGGTTAAGATTGACAAGGGACCTCTATAAATAGAAGGGATTCAGTGGTTCACGGGCTAGAGCTTTTGCTTGCCTCTCCTATTCTCCTCCCCATCTCCACCTCAAAGTAGGCCTGGAGTTTTGAGGAGCGTCGTTGCAGCCCTGCTGTGTGGATCACCGCTAGAGAGGAGGGCGCTTGACCTCCTTTACCATCTTCTAGATATCTGTAGGGATTCAAGGATATACAATCTCCCTAGGTAACACAATTTATTCTATACGTAGTTTTTTTAGTTATGCAAATTTTTGCGCACCAATGAACATCTTTTTGAGAAATTAGGGATTTTGTTTTTCTGTTCTTTCGCTGTGCATATGATGTCGCTCCCGAGATTTCCCAACAACATCTACGAGGGAAGGATTCAAAAGTTGTTTAAATGATGGATATCTAAATCTATTCGACTATAAATTATATACAACTTACAAGCCTTGCCTTCATGGAAAACTGGCCAACTCTACATTTAGTGGAACTAGAGAGAGAGCCACTGAACTATTAGAACTCATACATAGTTATGTATATGAACCCATATCAACTGATGCTATTGGTGATTACTCATATTTCATTCCCTTTATTGATGATTTCATAATGTTATAGTGAAGGTCATATAGTACTGTCACATAGTGAGATATCCATCACTATAGTTTTCCTTACATATATGAAATATCATGATAACATTGCATACTCAAAGTGAGATATGTGATGATTGGAGTTATACTTTATAATGATTTACATTTATTTACATTTGTATAGCATTCTACGCAACATATCTTCCCATCACAAAAAATAATAATAAATTACACATACGCCAGAAAATCCATATGATGTTCAAACTTTGTCTATTTTATGATATGTGATGTAAAATTATTATTTTGTTTCTCCAAATTTACTCCAATTTAGACAAAGAAAGGTATAATCTAAAACTGTGCCTCCTAGTAAAATAAATAAATAAATAAATAAAATAATTTTTTTATTTGAATTAGAATGCCGATATATATATATATATATATATATATATATATATATATATATATATATATATATATATATATATATATATATATATATATATATATATA